ACGAACATTTGGAATAACTTGATCGATCCGACATTTCACGCTATTAATGTTGATTTAGCATGTGATAAGGATATGAGCTGTGCATCAAGTGATAGAAAAAATCTTACTAGAACAATTAATGATAGAAAGAAGTTCGGCCGAAAAGGGGATGGAGGTTTTAGGTTATGTGAGGATCACCTGGAATTTGGTGTGATAGAGGCGGGTCGTAAATAGGAGGGACAGATCGGGACTAAATGCTTGAATGATTTCTTAAAATTAAATAAAATGATGAAGGATATGATCACACAGCTTATTATTATATATGATGGTAGAGAAGATCTTGTTAGGAAATTTGAAGTTATCGGGATTCTTCATGGAGCCAATAGAATTCAAATACTCACGATGGATTCTTCATGGAGCCAATAGAATTCAAATAATCACAATGAATTATCCAAAAGGATATATTTCTCGTGTCAAACATAGGAAGTTCTATGAAGTTTCCAGACGCTTAACTAAATCCAATCTACTTGCTTTGGTCTTGAAGGAGATATTATGTGCGAAAACTATTATTTTACGGACATTAGACTTGATAAACCAATAAGATGACGTTAATCTTGAAAATTTCCTTGATGATTCCGATGAACAGGATGGGTATCATACGCCTCCTCCCAAAGTTAATACAACTCCTACTTCGAGACTCCAAAGATAGTGAAAACCAAAGATGTGATTAACAAAAAAAAATAAGATGTTATTATGTACTTAATCTGAGTAGTTATTAGCTTATAAGCTTTTACTGAACCTTTGTGACCAAGTCATACATATAACGATTATACTTAGTGTATGTACAGTTAATAAAACATTTATTTGCGGGCATAATATGTGTAACTGTGTATAACTCATTAACCATAGCACATATGAAAATGATATCAAAAAATTTTTCTGCTTCATAAAATACAGTATATTATACTATTAGTGATGCAAAGACTAGACTCTGCTCTTGACATAGTCAAAGAGAGGTCAACATCTATTACAAATTTAAGCGAGGATAATACCAAATATGTAATGTTCTAGAATAAGGTGTAGTGATGATGAATGATGATTCCCTGGTAACTTGGGTGTCAACGTCTAACTCATTTTCTGATTTCATTTGGCTAGTACTGACCGTTATGCTTTTTTAACATGAGTTTCAAAATTAAAATGTAGAAATTTAATTCTAAGATACTGTAGATGGCGTATTTGTTTTCAAATAAGGATATATAAATTTTTACTTCAGATTTGGTGACAAACAAAATCCTCACAAAATTGCCAGATTTATAATCATATTAACCTAACACCAACCTAATGTGAGCTAACTTGAGATTTTGACTATCTTCTATCATTATGCTCACAGTCTAAGGGCGTTCTCAGGCGCTTCAATCAATGGTCAAGATATATCAGAATTGTGTCAGAGACTAAATTTTAATTATCAGAAAATATTTCTAATTGATCAAACGCGATTTTCATTAAGACAAATAAGGTACGGGACACATAGTTCATTATATCAAAGAAAAAAAATTTAAATACGTAGTAAAAAATGATCAGTAAGTTTATTATTTCAATCAATAGTTATTTTGCTCTAAAATTTTATAATTTAGAATAAATATAATTATTGTTCAAGCAATTTCATACTTTTTTGTTTATTGATACTAATGTATCATACAATAGCAATATGATGTTTTTTTTTACTATCAAAAATTTTTTAGCAAATAAATATTTTTACCAACACATTATATTATTATTCTGACAAATTGTATAGTAATATATAAAAATTGGCAAATACGTAAATAAGCAATAAAGGCGGCGGGTATTTGCAAAATTTTTAAAGACATTTTAATGAACCAAGAGTCGATAATAACTGCTTAAGCATTGATTGAGGTCTTTATTTGGATCCAGCGTAACAATTGAGCAACATTACAATAATCAACAAATTACAGTAATAGTTATACTTGAGCATAATTCAATTGAGAGTATTCTTAAGCACCTAAATTGATAAATCGGTGCTTAATTTTTAATTAGTAGAAAATAGTTTGACCGGTCAAGTGAGTTCATTATCGTAATAAAAAAAAAGATGCCTCGACCATCTTTTTTTTCATGGAGTTGTGCCGATTGACTAAAATTTAAAATCCACATTTCGCACTATGAAGCTTCAACGAAATTACGTATGGATTACTTCAATTCATTGTAGTGCTTGTGTGCACGATCTTAATCACCAGTTGATCACATTGAAGATGCTTGAGAATACTAGGGTTCTGCAAGTGCCCTATTAAAATGTCCCTAAATTAATGTAGATGAGAAAAGTTAAATGAGAAGCGAATAGGTTTTCTTAAATGTTTCAATTGGTAAATGATTGTTACATTCAAAGGAGAGATAACGAATCATTAATATTTTAATTTATAGTTTAATATAAATAAGAAATAACAACTAAAAAACGTTGCTCAATTCCTCGGAAGTTATTTCCCCGCCAAATCATTTCCCCGTAGTGCCAAAATGCAATTTCATCTACAGCACATTTTTTCGATAAAACATGTATTCGACATTACATGTTTTCGACAATCCTTTTCTTAGACGAAACATTTTCACGACTTTCCGACATAAAATTGCCGATTTACATTAAGGTCGGCCCGATTTAGAGTTAGTGTTGGTTAGAATTATATGTCGGGGAAATAATTGTCAGGGAAATGTCTTGTCTAAGAATAGGGTTGCCGAAAACAAGTAATGTCGATATTTCTTGTCGAAAAAAGTGATATAACTTGCTTTTTTTCTAGTGACATCCTTTTTGGAGGATCGTCTAAAGCCAGGTATATCGATATGGTTTTTAAATCGATTTGTAAACTAAAAATCATGTGACTAATATAAAATACTAGACGATCCCCTTTTTTGTAATGTATAGTTTCAAAGGAAATAGATTATTAAACCCAGGAAAAAGCTTGTAAAAAATTTCAAAGACCAAATAGCATATAAGATCAGTCCTACGTCCCTTTTAAAATTTTTTATGCTGAGCATGATCATGAGTATGATCAAGAATATGATGATGTATGAAATCCAATTTCGTATAACTAAGATATCGATATGCCAAAAATAATGCACAAGAGTCTAATTGCGCAGCACAAATTTGAAAGCGCTTTTTCTTGCGTATATTAAATAATAGTATTTATACGAAACTAATTAACAATTAAATATTTGTTACAAAATTAAATTGATATTAATAAATGCATTACTACGAAACCCCGGCAACTCAAAGCCTAAAACAATCCTCGATGATATTATATATTATATGAATAAAAAAATTAATACAGTACAGTCGCCCTCGTTAATATCAACCCATTTTTGATATTTACGAGGGTTAGCAAAGAGATAATCATTTATATAGTCTGAACTAAAGTTTTTTACTAAGTAAACTACATTTGAGCTTCTCACACGATTCTAATGCTGGTGAAATCATCAAATTTGGTTTGGTAGATAAAGATATATCCACATTTTACGTTTCACGACTATAAAATTTTCTTTTTTAAGAAAAATTTATAATCGTGAGAGAATACTTTACAAAAATCTATCAAAATTAAACTTGCTAAAAATAAGCTATTTAATAGTGCTAATAATATACTATCATATGCAAATTTTTGTGCTTTTTTAGTATTTTATTTTTATAATTTAATTTCATAAATAATTATTATAAAACGCACTATGGTGGTTTTGCACCTATTATATGTTTTTATTATGTTTTTTTAAAATTTTTTAAGTTTTGATAAGTTTTGTATATAAAATTTTTAACACCAATTTTTTCACGTTAAAGCTAATATTAAGGTTAGGATTAGGGTTTGGGAAGGATTTTTGGGGGCGTAGGCATTTTTAGGTGTAAAACACCATAGGTGCGTTTTAGTAAAATTCTTTTAAAATATATTTGCCAATTACTATGCTAATAAAATACTAATATTGGCAATATTTTAGTAATAATAAAGTTCTACGTAAAAGATTACCAACTAGTTTATTAGGTATTTAACATTACTGATCATGAATTAATTTGTAATAATAAATATAAATTAGTAAAATTGCTAATTTAGTACTAATAAGCATTTTATATTGCTCATAATTTGCTAATATTTGCAAAAATTAAATCTTCAAAATTTTGCAAAGTATCTTGATATACCAAACCAAATTTGATGATTTCACCAGCATTAGAATCGTATAAGTGTTCTTTACAACCTTTATTAAAGGCAAAGTGCAGTTTACTTAGTAAAAAATTGAGTCCGCTTTATAGCAATAAACAATTCTAATATTTTAGAAATTTTATTTGCCGTTATTTTTATGTCATATGACTTGCGATTCTTAACTTTTATTGACTAAGGATACCAACGGGGTAAATTATTTATAAAAAGGTTTATATCCATGTTGATAGTGATATTAATGAGGGATCATATTAAAGTTGATATATACGAGGGAATTTTAATATACGGAAATTTGTCCTATAGCTTAGGTTGAGAGGTTGATATTAGCGAGGGTTGACGGTAATAATAATAAAATAGAAAGCACGAAAAAAATAAAATATGAAATACTTATTCTAGGATACAATAAGCAATGTATAAAACAATTTAATTATACCAATTAATCATTTTGACCTTAATTATTTAATAATAATTTTAGATGTAATATTATATTTTAACCTTTTATCTAGTCCACACGCTTATGTTTCATTGCTTCATATCGCTAAACTATTTTACAATGCAGTTTCCTGTTATAAGCGCAAGTGCGTGTGCATGTCAAATTTTTACATTATATTATATAAGCTCTCAGCCATGTACTAAACCTGGGGTCTACTATAGATTTAAAATTGGCGAAATGTGAGACCTGAACCCTTATGCACCAGTTTACGGTACTGTTATTTACCAAGTTTAATAAATTGTAATTTGCTTAAATTTGCTTATTGGCTAAATTGAAACGCCTAAACGCACCTCTAATCTAACTTTTGAGTTACCTCGTCAATTACCAAATTACTTTGATATGTTATAGAGCCACCCGCTTTAGATGAAAGACCAACAACATATATGATCTAACAACAAAATCCAACAACACGAATATATGATAGCTATGATTCCAAAATTACAGCTGTAAAAAAAAAAAAAAAAAAAATGGTAATTCTGATAAAATAGGAAGAAGATCGAAAAAAATCAGAAAGACAAAGAAAAACAAAAGGTCGAAAGAAAAAGCAAAAGGCGAATAAAGAACAAGGGGAATGAAAAAAAAACAGATGAACGAAAAGAAAAGGCAAAAGAATGAAAGGATAAACAAAAGACAAAAGAAAAACAAAACGAAAGCAAAAACGAAACGAAAGTCCCAACGAGAATTCAAGCGAATGCCCAAGAGAAGTCCAAGCGAATGTCCAAGAGAAAGTTTGAAAGGCCTGAGAGAAATCCGACAAGAAAATACTAATAAATAATATTTAAATTACTTACCCAGAAAGTTCCAGCGACGAAAACTCCAAAGACAACGGTGGCTCCAACGATGATAATCCCAAAGACAACGATTCCGACAACACTAAAATTACTAGGAAGAAAAGAATGTTAATTCAAAAAGTGCGAATGAAAAAAATGCAAAAAAGAGAGGAAGAAAACGAAATAAAACAAATAGGAGAAAAAATAAATGGACGAAGAAAAGAATAGAAAAACGAAAAAA